TTCCTTTTATCTTGCGTAGCACTAAAACTGTGAGTAACTTGCTGAAGATCAAAATAACACTTGATTGAAGTAAATACTCTCAAAAGAACGGCAAGTTTCAAATGTCTCCAGAATTGCTGAAAAATGTCACAACATCACCATTTCTCTCTCATGTATGGGAACAGATAGTTGCATGTTATTTGATATAATTCTGCCATTTTGAGCTACACTAAACACTAAAATAATCACAGTTGACACATGTTCCTAAAGCACTCCTACATTTTCTGCTGTTTGGATATAATTTGGCATAAAGCCTTTGAAAAAGAAATGGGTTTATAGCAGGTTGGGTTAAGTGATGGGAACTGTTCAAAAGTGTTCAAAAGCTTGTAAGTCAAACATAATCTCGATCAGTGATTAAGGTCTTTTTATACCGAAAAATGAGTCCATTTGGGGAAAAGAAAAGGGAATATTTGGAGATAAAAGCGTCCTGCATTGCTAAATGTAAGAGCAGTCTCTTAGTTATGGTTGTATATCAACATGGGGGAATTTATTCATCACAATATCATCTTGTCTTTTCCCTGCACAGATTAGCCCAATGCATGGGTTAATATAGACAGGGCTGGTAGCAAAGGTCAGGCCGATGCCAACCTCTCATACTTTCAGGAAGGCTTAATATGGTCCACTGTGATTATGCTAAAGGAATGAGAAGGTGAAGAATGTGAGCATGCACACAAGTTCTTCACATCTGGTTGTAAAAAGCACCAGATGTGCAGCTGCATCTCACAAGGCAGCAAGGTGGCAATAACACCACAGTACCTTCCAAGAGATTCAGCCCCACTTCAGCTTTTTCACTATGTGTTGTGCTTCAACATGGAATCGAAATGGATTTAATTGGAGTTGTTACCACTTTATGTATACAAGATACACAGCATCATGAAGGTGTGTTTTTTAAATTGTGATGCAGAAGGTAAGAAAAACATACAGACAGACAGACACTTGCCAGTTGCAAAAATTTTCACCCCAAGTCAATATTTGGTTGAAGCTTTTTTTGGCAACAGTAACTGTTGTGGGTCTTAACGGATACAATTTGTGCATCTGCATCCTGCAGTGTCTGCCTGTTCTTCCTGGCAAAACTGCTCCAGCTCCTTCAAACTGAATGGGGGTCATTCAAGTCTTGCCACAGAGTCTTAATCAAATCGAGGTCTGGGCTTTGACTGGGCCTTTCTAAGACATTCAGGTTCTTGTTTCTAAACCATTCCAGGAATGCTTTGGGTGTGTGCTTAGGACGTGAACCTAAGTCCTTTGCATTGTATTTGACTCCATCCACTCTGTGCTTGATCCTGACCAGTTCCCCAATGGCTGATGAAGTAAAACATCCACACAACATGCTGCTGCTGGGTTGGTGTTTATTTTTATTTATTTATTTAAAAAATTTCTATGCTGCCCCCATCACAACAAAGCCTCGGGGCGGCTCACAGCATAATTAAAACATATAAATAAATATTAATAGTCAGAGATTAAAAAGCCCGGTTGCATCTCGGCTTAAAAATTTTAAATCCTATAAATACCACAATAAGTTAACAATTAAAATAAGTGCCGAAAAACAAATAGCAATGGTGCCAGGCGGACCTCTCTGGGGAGCGCATTCCATAGGTGGGGCGCCAACGCAGAGAAAGCCCTCCTCCGAGTACCTACCCTCCTAGTTTCTTTCACGGAGGGTTCCCGGAGAAGGGCATCTGTTGCCGATCTCAAGGGGCTGGAGGGCATATATGGACGCAAGCGTTCCTTTAGATAACCAGGTCCCAAGCCGTTGAGGGCTTTATAGGTCATAACCAAAACCTTGAATTGGGTCCGGACTTCAATCGGGAGCCAGTGAAGCTGACGGAGAACTGGGGTTATATGAGAACAATGCCCAGTCCCCGTCAGCAACCTGGCAGCTCTGTTCTGCACCAATTGAAGTATCCAGACCGTCTTCAAGGGTAGCCCCACATAGAGCACATTACAGAAGTCTATTGGGGAAGTTACCAACGCGTGTGTCACTGTTGCCAGGCAGTCGTTCTCCAGGAAGGGACGCAGCTGATGGATCACCTGATCCGCCATCACCTGAGCTTCTAGTGACAGCTCAGGGTCGAGGAGCCCTCCCAAGCTGCAAACCCTGTCCCTCAGAGGGAGTGCAACCCCATTCAGGACAAGGCCCAAGTCCCCCATCCCGAAGCCCAAACCACCCACCAACTGGACCTCCGTCTTGTCTGGACTGAGCCTCAGTTTATTGGCCCTCATCCAGCCCATTATCTCGGCCAGGCACTGGTTAAGCACAGCCACCGCCTCACCTGGAGTAGATGTAAATGACAGGTAGAGCTGGGTGTCATCAGTGTTCCTAGGGGAATGAGCACTGTTGGCTTTGTGCCACATGCAGCATGTTCCAGCAAGATCAGAAAGTTCATTTTGGAGTTCATTACACGAGAGAACATTTTCCCACATGTTTCGCTGTCCCTCTCACATGCCCTTTGGCAAATCCAAATAAGTTCTGATGTGGGATTATTTCAGCAAAGGCTTTCTTCTCTCCACTCTTCCACAAAGTCCAGTTTGTGAAGTATCTGAGTGATAGTTGTCCCATGGACAGTCTCTCTCATCTCAGGTGAGGACCTCTCCAAATCCTTCAGAGTTTGCACCGGCATTCCAATTGCTTCTCTGACCAGCGTCCTCCTCTCTGATCAATTGGTTTTGATGGACATTCTTCTCTAAGCATGGTTGCAATTTGTAATAATGGAGTTAGTGGTGCTCCAGGAGATGTTCACAGTTTGGGATATTTTCTTATAACCCAACCCATATTGGTTCTTATACACAACTATACTGATTGGTTGTTTTGATAGGTCCTTGGTCTTCATTATGTTTTGTTCAGACATGCTGCCCAGAAAACTCTGCAGCCTTTAATCTGACATCACACAGCCCTGAAATTGCATGCCAGTGGACTCCATTCAACTACTTGGAGGCAGTGGCTTGCACCAGAGGCATGTCACAACAGTGGGGCTGAATACTCACCCAGCCAACAAGTTCAGTTGTGTTTACTTGACTTTTGTGTCGCCTTCGCAAGTGTTGTATATCTTGTATGCCTCAAGTAACAGCAATGCCACTTAAATCTATTCAGGTGCAGGTTCTAATACAAAAAAGGTGAAAAGTCAAAATGGGGCGAATGCCTCTGGAAGGCACTGTAATGGAAGCAACTGAATGTGCAGACAGAAGTTCAGGGGAGAGGAAGGGCAGTGTGGTGATTTAAAAGCGGCAGAACTAGTTACACCTGCACTGGATGCTGAGGCTGAGTGATGGTGGTAGAAGCAATAGATAGGCCTGCAGTTCCCTGGCCTAGGTAGGTGGCAGCCTCTCCTTGCCTGGGAGCCACAGCTGGTCCCTCTACTGCTAGGTTATCCTAGCTGGCCACAAGTCTGCAGTGACTTAACCTCATCCAGCAAATAGCCATCATGGCTCAATAACGGCGTACATTCAGGCCCTCGTGGTCCAGGCGTTACATGCCGAACATGTGCTTATACCACAAATGCAATTTAAATGCACTCTGGTTCAGATTGTTTCAGCTCACTTTCAGCTTTGATCGTTACCACAGAATGCAGCTGGGAGAGGGAGAGAGTGACTCCTTAATATGAAATTCCATCAAAGCCTCTCTCATTTAATTCTGGCTCCGAGTCAAAAACTGCTGAGATCTCCATAATTTCTACCCAGTTATAAACCAATGGCCTGTAACACCCTCCCAATAATTGCTGGTCAGCCAGCTGTTTCTCGCTGTCTCTCTGGGGTTTTATAAGTGTCACTTTCTGGCTGGCTGCCTTCTTCCTGGGCAGAATAAGCACTAAAGGTAAGTCTGCTTCTCTGCAGCAAATTGGAATCCAGAAAAGATATTCTGGAAGAGATGGTCACCTGACCTCCCATCAGTGTGGCAGCTGGTTGCCTCGCCATCAATTTCTACTTTGATTTTTAAAAAATCCTGGCATTACTGTTGGCTATAAAATGCTGGTATTGACTCAGTTCTTTATTATATTTTGTGCTGTCCTTCTTCTAAAAACTCTGGTTATTATAGGCTTCTTCCTCACCCTCAGCTCCTATTTTATCCTTTCGACAATCCTGTAAAGTTGGTTAATGTAATAGTGGCTGGATCAAGAGGGCTGAGTGAGCTTTGTTTTGACCAGAGCAAATCAACATCCAATAAAAACCGCTGTCAGGCAGACTACTGTCTTCATGTTGAAATCTGTTATTCACCTACCTGGAATAAGTGCTACTGAAATCCATGGGACTCAGTACTGCGTAGACGTGTATAGCATTGCACTGTACATTACTGAATAATTCAGATACTAATAGCAAGCTATTTAGTCTGTGTCAACTGCATTTTGATTGGAAACTTTTGAAATCAAGAACTGCCACATGCTTATTGGATTTCTAAGATTTGTGTGATGGCTAACATTTGGACTTTCACATTTATTTGTATAAGGAGCACATCAACCTTAGATCCAGCTGAAATTGTGTGCGAGTCAGGGGGAGTCTGTGTTGAGGGAAAACTTTAATTGCATGGTTCTAGCCTTTGTTAAAGAACCAAATGGGGCAAACTTTTCCATTTTAACAGCAAAAATGAAAGATGATGGGAAGGTGAGTTCCAAAGAAAGATATACATTGTGCTACTATTTTTCTTTAGATCCCTTGTAATCGCTCCCCAAACTGCTTTCCTTTTAAAAATGAATGTACACCATTACAAATGTGGCCATTTTTTAGTAACATTTTCTCTTGTATGCAGGCAAAAAAGTAATTAGATTTCTGTGGAGTAATTGATTTTGTTTCTTCTCCCCTTTCTGAGTGTGGGATCAGAAGGGGGAAAAAAGAATAAATTACAATGTATATGTTACTATGATTTATGCTCCGGCTTATGTATCTTGACTATTTCTTCATTTTCCTAACATAATTAGAGCTGAGCTGATGCCTTGCATTTATTTACATCACTCTCTCTTTTCTGCTTCTAGGCTCTGCTCTTGAGGACTGTTTTTAAACTGAAGGAGAATTTCAAGCCACCTTTCAATCTGTTTGGACTTGCTGTTTACAGACGAGGAATGGAGAAACCATTAAGCACAAAAGGGATCACACTGTGCCTGCTTCTCTTTGTATTAAGTTTGGCAGCAGCCATTGAAATACCGCTTTCTGGTAAGTTGTAGCTATTTACTGAATGTTCTCATACTGGAGAACAGATTAAATCTTGCCAATGTGTTGTTTCTATTTTGAGCTTTATTATGCTCTTGCATGGCCTTTTGGGAATTCATATGTGATAGAAATGTAAGTTTGCTTTCCTCTCTGGACTGGTCCAGGGAGAACAGTAAACTTGCATGAACAGCATGTCATAGTTATATGCTTAGCCCGGCTTAGCATTCAAATGGCTCTCATTCCACCAAAACTTGTGGTGAGTCTTTGTGTTCTGATTTCCAAGTGTAGAGCAGGAGTCTGGTGAAAATTGGTTCAGTATTCCAATATAATGCAGAAACCTATAGAGATTATAATAACAATAAAGTTTTTATAATCATTTTTATAATACAGTATTTCTTCAAATATTCCATCCAATAAATGAATTTACAAATATTATTGCTAGTTTGAGGATACTGTTATGCAATGATATTTTACTTTATTGTATTTTTTCATTGGCTTTCAAGATAGTAGTATTCTGAAGGGGACTTATACAAATGCAATTCAGTATAACAGTATCAGTATCAAAGTACTTTAACCCTGTTCAAATAAATTTCAAATCTCATCAGTGCTAGTATCTTTTATGTAAAATCCAGGGAGAACAAAATCCCCCTAAAAGAATCCCCCTACAGATCGTAGAATCATAGAATAGTAGAGTTGGAAGGGGCCATGAAGGCCATTGAGTCCAACCCCCTGCAGGACACCACGGATTTAGATGGATTTAACCACTTGGCAGGGAGTTCTGAAGGGAAGGACCGCTACCAGCAACACTCCTCTGGTATGTGTCAACTTGGCTCATCTTAAATGTGGGCCAATAAGTCCATGCAGTCCGCCCCAACCTGGTGCCATCTGGAAGTTTTGGACTACAGTTCCCATCTGCCCTGGGCAGCTTGGTCGGTGGTCAGCAGTGATGGCAGTTGTAGTCCAAACTATCTGGGTGGGCTGGCATAAAACGTCCAAAGACCACTTTGGATTAAGATCTCTTAAAGCATAGCAGGTATATATGCCCATTTAAATAATATAGACCAGGAGTGTTTCAAACTACGTATGGAGGTCAAAACCAGCCTGTAGATTGGACCAGAAATGCTCTGGAAAGCATAGCTGAAGCAGCACTGGTGCAGAAGGAGACTTCTTCAGAAGTAGCCTCACATACAGCACATACGGCAGTCTGCAACTGGAGCACACGCAACTGAGGACAGGTCTGCTATCTCCAGACAGGGTTGCATATGACTAGGAAATGTCACATAGAAGCATGACTGGAATCCACCAATGATGCCTAAGTTTTACATCAAAGCTTCTTACTCATGTCTCCATCAGATTGCTATCTTCCTTTTTTTGGTTTTTAATGAAGATCGTGCATGTTTCATGAGTATTTTTTACAGTGTGCACATCGATTGTGAATATTTTTGAAATGTGCACATTCCTCTCCCATTAATTAAAGCTTGTTTGTTTAAATGAAATACATATTGAAAAGTATTCATTTTCATGCACATTTTTCAAATGTATACAGGCAGTCAAACACATTTTTAGTCTGCGGAAGACACTGCAAACCTGGCAATGTGCAGACTTTCATCATAGATTGTATTCAAGTCCTTGTTCAGTTTGGTGTAAAATGGGTAACTGCTAAGAAAAAACAAATTGAAACAAATGCCTGATACAAGCCCACAACCGATTTCCAACCAAATCTGGGAAGAGGCACTGCTGGGTACCTCTTTCTGCACAGTCGCCAGTGGTTCCTGGTAGACCTACAAACTATGGATCTGAGCTCTTCAAGGATGTCCAGTTCCATCCACTACCAGCTAAATCGCCTTTCCTCCTTTTCTACGAGCAATTTTCCATTCTGGCCATAGGTACTTGTGCAGCAGATGTTACAAAACATGCTATGAATCATCATGTAGTCTTGTCTGAAGTCTTTTCTTGGCAGAGAAGTTGAAAGCCATAAGCCGTTGAAAGCTGTAAGCCATCCAGAGACGTAAGTGATTGAACGGCATACAAATTTTATAAATAAATGGAGAAAAATGGAAGGTAAAATGGAAACTAAATCCTCCTTCCACAGTTCACCTTTTTTTATTTTATTTTATTTTATTTTATTTTATTTTATTTTTGCTGCACCATTCTGCATCTCTGTGGTTACATATATATTTGTCTAAATTAACCCAAGCAGGTGCTTACAACCTGAACAACAAGCCATGAAGACTAGGAATAGAGAGAGGGCATCTAAATGCATGGAGTGGCATTGAAACATTCCTCTTGCGCTTTCATTTCCAGTTAGACCTTGCATTGCTGCATCTCGGGTAGAGGGCAGTGCACTGCCTCCTCAGATTCCTATTGCCTTCTTTTACTACGCAGAGGAATGCAAGGCATCAGTCAACACTTGCATGTCCCTTTGCAAGGATAAGATACCTGCTGCCTAGTGGTATCATTGTTGTAAGCCGCCCCGAGGCTTCGGCGAATGGGGCGGCATAAAAATGTTTTAATAAATAAAAATAAATAAATAAATAAATAGTGCCTTCTATTAGCCAATGTGCCATTCCAGCGACGGCTTGGAGGCAAGGCATTGGGAATGCTCTTCTGTCTGATTTGGATAAGAAGACACAGTGCACAGCTTCTGAACGTAGCATCACTGAGTATAGGGATGTGTAACCCTCTTTTACATGGAACAGTCTCAACCAAGGGAAAAATACCCTCACCCTCACCCTCATTGTTTCTTGCTGTTACAAGCCTCTAAGTCCATTTTTTACTTCAGGCTAAATGTTCGGCCCAGGCAATGCCCTTACAACGAGCTCCGTATTCCAGCTCCAGTCTTCCTCTGGCACCAAGTGTGCCCCCTGTTATATCACTGGTTGCTTGAATGGTTTATCAGAGCCTCAGTGCTTGCACAACCTTCCTCTAGACGGATGCCAAGGTAGCATCTGGCAGAACGCAGCCATCTTCTGATCTTCACCAGCCAAATAGGGCTATCCCACAGAAAGCTATTCCCTTGCTCCTCAGCTTTCTCTGAGGCTACATGCTAATCACTGGGCCTTCCTCCTCTCATGCCACAGACTAACTCTGATTCAATGCCTGTCATACTCTAATTTGGATTAGTCTCCTAAATGACATTTCCCACCTGCTCTTCCACCCCCCCCCCACAAAAAAAAACAAAAACACAATAATCAGCACAGGAAAAATAAAACAAAAAATGCATGAAACATGTAGGAACACATATTTCAGCAGACAACAGACAAGTCTAAATGGCAAGATCTAGAATCTAAATGCTTAACCTCCAGGGGGAAAGGGGAGTATATTCCTTTTGCAGAGTCATATGTGAACTCTCCAATAAACCCCAGAAATAGATTCTCATTGATCTGCTCTTTACATTCAACCATGTTCCCAGATTCTTTGACCTTTCTTTGACCCCACATTTCCATTTGATTCTTAATTTTTGTTAATGAAGCTTTTTTATGGTTTTAATAAACATGAATTATATTTGGCTATAAACAGGCCGGGCAAAGACTGGTGCCATTGGAGATGCTGAAGATGAGATGCCATATGGAGCAGCAAGATACCACGTTCTGTAGGAGCACTGAGTTTTCTGGTTCACTGGGCTTAAAGCGTTTCTAGCCAGTACCCTAATATCCATCCCTTTAATTTATAACGAAGTGGTAATTCTATTATGGTCAATTACTCTTCAGGGCGCAATTTCCATTTTTATAGTTTGGTTATGTGAAGATTCACAACACTTTAATTTCTTCAGGATAATAAAAAAAATGTAAATCCATGAAATAGATGATTTGCATAGCACTGGGGTCTACCATGGAGAATGCATGATTTGAGTGAAGATGCTGCTACTTCCTAATGAGAAAAATATGTTGGCATCCCAAGCGATGGAAGACTTTGGTCAGGGCACAACATCTCTTTTTTAACTATAAGTTTAGAGGCCAATGTAGATGTAGCAAGTTGTAGTAGCTTCTGACCGTTTAACTCTATTTTGTTTCAGACTGTTTTATACTGGCTTCTAAGTTATGTAGCGAACCCATATTTTTATTGTACTTCAAGAAGTTGCAAACCACTCAGAGCTTCAGCTATTGCTCAGTATAGAAATAAAATGAAAAAAATGAATAAGCCCAAGGAAAATGATCTTGTAGTTCTCATTGAGATACTTGAATAGTTCCAAGATGAACTGATCTGATGTACATTTCCCTACCTAATGCAAACATTGGATCCTATTTTATTTAAATAAAATGAAGTATAGATACATAAATCTTAGCTATAAATATTGAAATTTCCAGTATGTACTAGTGAAGTTTTTGATTTGAAAAAATACCAAGATATGTCTAAAAATATTTTTGGATAGGAAATAAGTTCAGAATTGTTTATTTCGGAATAAAATGTGTTCTAAAACACACAATTTGCATTTGATTAAATATTATTTAAATGCAAATTGCTGACTGGGTTTCTTGAAATAATATATGGTAATGAAAAAGCAGAATGAAGTGGCTGAACCTATATGAACAAACAGACTGATTCACCCATGAAAAATTCCTCACCAGATTGTGCTCAGGCTTAGACTTTGATGAATATCACTTCAAGAATGGAACTGAACCACTGATATGTTTTATTCCTTACTCCAGGTCAACATATCCTTACATCATTCCTCCCTTCCAATCAATATGTTAATAGTTTTGTTACAGTAGAACAATGGAGTGTTCCGAAACAGTGTTGGTACAGATGTTCATGAACATGCATACGCACAATGCAATTCTTTTTCCACCCAGTTTCCAAAATGTAATAAACCTGTGATTTCTGTGTGGATACAGATAAGTGGATTGTTCTGTTTTGTAGCTGCAACTGCATCATAGGTTTTTAGTACTCTTGGTACTGACTGGTCTAGTTGTTTGTTCTTGGTGTTTGCTGTCTGTATGAATTTGTGCTCTTTTCTTACCATAGCAATTTTTATTACATGGGATTTTATTATTGTAAACCACCTTGGGAGGTTGCCTGTTCTAAAAGGCAGCTGGAAAATATTGTAAACACAATAAATAAATGAATGCAAATCCAAGAGGCCATGTCCTATTTTCATGACAACTGAGTAGGATATAAGGAGTGTCCATGAAGTGCAGTCCTCTGGACATTTCTGAACACGTGCTGCAGTGAGACACCCCCACCCACTACTCCTCATTTTTCCTCACCAGGGAAGTCAAAGTCCCCCATCAGTTTGCTCAGCATTCAGTCTAAGAAGAGGGGCCTCTCTGATCCTTGGCCCCTCTTGCCAGCCTTATGCTTCTTCTCAGCGAATGTAAGCAGACACTCCCTCTGCCTCCCTTGTGCTCCACTCCAAATAGTGGAGCACAAGAGTGGAGTGGAGCAGTGTGCTCCACTCCACTCCAAACGGCCTCATTCAGAGATTCTCACAGGGCTGTTATAATTGGGAAGCTTCTCCGTCCGCCTGTTTTCCAGCTCTCAGCTGGGCCTTGTGGCTCTCATGCCCACCTAGCTTTGTGAATGTTAACTGCCATGAGAAGAGAATGGAAGATTTAAATGCCTGCTAGAATAGTGTTCTTTCTTCAAATCGGAACTGGACAAAAATAGTCTGGGAAACAGCAGTTCAGTTCTTCCTTGTGTATGGTTCCATTTTGTGATGCCAAAAGCAAATTGGGCAATGGGTAATAAGGTGTTTTAAGAAAGAGAAAACAAAATGCTTGTGCATGTCTGGAAGCTGTGTTGAAATATATATATATATATATATGAGAGAGAGAACTAAAAAGAGACTGTTCCCATTACCATTGGTAACAGGTGAGGGAGAATTTCATTTAAAAACAGTGAATTACCTTAGCAATGCTCAAGCTGCATGGAGAACTGCAGTGGGAGACAGGCGCTGATTAGCTTCCGTGGCTGAAAACATTGGCTACATTTCTTTAAAACACATTTAATGTGAAAATGCTGCTAACATAGCAGTGCTTTATTGAGTAATTTGTATTTTTATGAAGGGATAAAAATACCTCTCTGCCAGGTTAAGAGTAGTGCACTTGTGTTTTCCTTCTTTCCAAGGAATGCTCCTTTTAAAAGGCACTAATCAGAAGTTGTCCAATCAAACCAAACTGAAATGAATGGGCATTGCGCAAGAGCACCACTTTAGGGTTCCCTTTGGAAGCAGAGTATTTCCACTACTTGTTCCCTGCCAGGTTTGTCTTCCCACCAAACTCAGAATATTTGCAGAGTCACTCTTGCCATTCTTTGTATCATTTTAGTATTTTGTTTTAGCTATTTTTAACTTTTAATGTTTTTTTCTGATTTTTCTAATATTTATTGTATTGTTTATCATTTTTATAATTTTATCCATTTTTAGGGATTGTGTAAACTGCCCAGAGAGCTTCAGCTGTAGGGAAGTATGGAAATGAAATTAACAACAAACACTGAAAGTGTGAAGACTGAAGGGGAGATATGACAGTGTTCTACAAGTACCTGAAAGGCTGTCACAAAGAGGAAGGATAAGTTCTCCCCCATTGCAGAGTGCAGGGCATGGAATAACAGGCTTAAGATAAAAGGCACCAGATTTAGATTAGACACCAGGAAGAATTTCCTCACTGTCAGAGCAGTACAACAATGGAACATATTACCTGTGGAGGTTGTGGGTTTCACACTTCAAGACGCAACTGGAGGCATTTGAGAGAGATAGTTTACCTTGGAGTTCTGCACTAGCAAGAGGTTGGACCTGGTCGTCATCTGGTCCATTCCAACTCCTATGATTCTATAAGAAGAGGCAAGATAAGGCAGTCCTTAACTCTGAATTGGATATAGAGTGGAGAAGACAATGCAGAGTTCTTAACCTATACAGTCTGCAGAAGCTTTGCTATAGTTGGATCATTGCCCTTCTTTCTGTTTCATTGCACTTTAGGAGCTATAGCAGTTTAGTTACTTACTGCTGGACTATTGCATTGTAGCGGGCTGAACTTGCCCTTGAAGCGGCCAGACCCAGATGGGTAGAGATTTGATTTCTGTAAAGTCTGGACAGGAAGTGCCTTGGAACTTTGATTGCTCCAATGATTCTTCCAAGGCTTCCCTTGGTTACTTCCACAAGTGTCTGATGACACTGTTGCGCCCTCCATGTTTTGTTGTTCCATTTATTTATTTATGGATTTATATCCTGCCTTTTTCCTACAAAGGGCTCAAGGCAGCTTACATCTTTCTCCTCCTCCATCTTATCCCCACAACAACAACCCTGGGAGGTAGGTTGGGCTGAGAATCTGTGACTGGCGCAAAGTCACCCAATTGGCCCCATGGCTGGGCTGGGACTAGAGTCCCAGTTCCATGCTCTTAACTACTACACCACACTGGCTTATGTACCTTTTCCTGTAGAAAGTAATGCAAGTTATACCACTGGCTTCAGATTGTTTTTTCAAGTGATCTAACTCACTTTATAACCTTTCAGTTATCATTTGTGTATCTTTCCCTCTACTGCATTGTTCTTGAGCATCAGCTTTTCCCCCTTGAAATAGTGATGGAAAACACACCTAAGCTTATTGGGTACTGTAGGTGGAGGAAGGCAAAGTATCCCCAAGCAGGGTCAGGAAACCCAAGATAGTATTGGTATTCAGCCAGTGAGCACACCCACCACCACTTGGTTTAAAGTAAGTACAGTTTGGTGCAGTGTTTCAAGTGATGGACCAAGATTCAGGATATCCAAGTTCTGGTCCCCAGTTAGGGCCAGGCAGTGAGTGATTCTGCCTGGCCCTACCTCACAGGGCTGTTGTGATGCTAAATTGGGGGAGCAGCAGATCACAGACACTGCCTTAGGTTCCTTGCAGGTGGAAACAAGGCAGAATATAAATGTGAAAAATATTCCTTATTTGGACTAAAATGCATTTTTGTGCTTCTTTTTTAATTGAATGTGTGGAACACGGCGACTGACAGATTTATTGGTGGAGTCCCAGGAAGTTTAGGGCTTGGCTCTTAACAGCTGTGAAGCCCTGTGTTTTCCACCATGTTTATAACAGCAAACTAGGATTGCCACTGGTTTTTTTTTTCTCATCTGTAGGAGCTGCATGGTAGGCTGTTGCAACATGTGCTATGAATTGCTAGACTGAATGAATTTTGCTGTTGGATTTGGGTGAAAATGTTGTTTCCATTCATTTCCAAAAATAATTTACCAAAATTTGAAGTTTTTATATTCAGGAAAGAAGGAACTTTTGAGATCTTTTTCTTACTCTTCTGAATGGATATCACAAAAAGCAGAGCAGCCAACCACATAAGAACCCTACCCAGACATTTATGCAAGTTTCAACACATGTAAAGTTCACACCCTCTTCTCTTCCTTGTGGTCATTTTCATCATTCAGCTATAAGCTCCTTGGGGAAGAAACCTTGCTGAAGACAATTTCATGGAGCTGACTATGTAAAATGTGGCCATAATGCTTTGAAATCATCAGAGTTGCTAACTGTATATCAATTTTTAGCAATAAGGAAAAATGGCCAGCAAAGATTCCTATTTTTTAACATTTGTACAAAAAACAGGATAAAGCTCAGCCTTCTCCCAGAAGAGGAATGATGACCTCCCTGATGAAGGAGAAATACAAACTAAAGGAGCAGGATGAAATGGATAGGCAAATGGTCAAGGATCTCCTAGTTCATTTGAATGAGTTCAAATCTCCAGGGCCTGTTGAACTGCATCCTAGAATCATAAAGAAGCTGCCAGAAGAAGTAGGATCTATAATCTTTGAGAAATCATGGAGGATGGGAAGTGCCAATTGACTGCTAATGTTGTCTGGGGGCTACAGAGCAGTCAGTCTGATGTCAACCCCTGGGAAAATTCTGGGAAAATTCTGGAAGACATTATGAAGTCTGCAAACACCTTGAAAGCAACACATTGATTACTAGAAACCAACATGAATTACGGCCATACTAATCTGCTTTCATATTTTGATTGTGTAACCTCCCTGATGGACTCTGGGAATGCTGTGGACATAGTATACCTTGACTTCAGCAAAGCTTTTGACAAAGTGCCCTACAATATCCCAATTAGCAAACCCTCCAAAAGTGAGCTAGATCAAACAACTATCAGGTGGATCCAAAGTTGGCTACACAAAGAGTGCTAATCAGTGGTACCTTCTCAAACTAGGGAGAGGTAAAAAATGGGGTACTGGAGATTCAGTCCTGGGTCCAGCTTTCTTCAACATTTATATTAATGATTTGGATAAGAAAGTACGGTGAACGTTTATTAAATTTGCACATGACACAAATTGGGTGGGATAGCGAATACCCTGAAAGAAAGAAACAAAATTCAGAGCAATTCTAAAAGAAATTCTGGAGGACTGCAGGACACAAAATAACTGAGCCAAGTTACAGGAAGCCAGATTCTGACTAGATATCAGGAAACACTTCTTGAGTGTTAGGACAATTTGACATTACCTCGCGAGGGTTTGGAATTTCCCACACTGGAGCATTAAAGAGGCAGCTGAAAGCCATCTGTCAAAGATGTTTTAACAAAGGATTAGACCCAATGGTTGTCTTCAACCCTTCCAACGCTGCAATTCTGTGATTCTCTGGTTTTACGAAAAATGAATAATGTAATGAAGTATTTTATAGTTTTTTTTCTGGCCGGGTTATTTTACTGATGCATTTATTATATTTACATTCTGTCCTTTCTCCTGCAAGGAAGTTTTCATAATCCTTGTCTCTATCTTATCCTCACAACAACCCTGTGAGGTGGGATAGGCTGGCAGCCAGTGACTTCCCAAGGCCAAAGACTTCTCAGGAGCTTCCTGACTGAGTTGGAACTAGAACCCACATCTCCCAGGTCCTAGGCCAGCACTCTACGCATTATGCCACACTGACTCTCAGGTGTGCCTTACCTGACCTTATTGCCTGCCTTTGTTTCAGTGCGACAGCTCCCAACAATCACAGAACAGTCGAGCAATCAAGTTGCATTCCCTTTCGATGAAGAGACTACCATGAAGTGTGAAGCTAAAGGGAACCCTCACCCAACGTAAGTGTGCTGCAATAATCTGAGATTAACTTATTTATTACCTCTTCACTCAGCATTTTCAACCTGCTGCTTAGCATAATTTTCTTTCTGTGAAAGCATATAATTCTCTAGCATCTAACCTTGCACTGGGAGCCCATAGGCCTTACTTCTACAGGTCATGCTGCATTTATCACTGAGTAAATATGGGGTGGGGGGACAAAAGCAGTTATGCAGTGCTGATGGGGTCACGTTTAGTCTCTTGGGTGCTTGAAAGTCTTCTATGAATGTTGCAACATTCCTAAAACCTGCCCCCAACACTGTGACATGCATCCTGGTTAGCACCGATGTCGAAAAATGCTTGCAACATGGACTCCATCAATTCATCCACAGTGTGAGGTCCTCCATGACCCAATTAGTACTGTATCCCTACATTTGGCCCACCCTGTAGAAGCAGCCAAGCAGGTTCTGACTGGCAATGTAACTTATACATCCTTTGTTTAACTGCAGCTGGAATAGCCTCAGAGTCAAAGTGACAGCAGCACAGAGCAGATCTGTTCTTGATGCCTTCCTTAGTACAGGTATTTTGGGGCTGTGTGCTTCTTCCTCAGGGCATTCAGTATAATTTGCATTCATCAGAAGATTTTTCCCAAGAGAAGAATCATGCTCCCTGGGTTACTCTTTGCCTCTTGGGGAGACTCAGGTTGAGAATCAGGTCATACTGCAAACTGGAGAGAAAAGAGCTACCCCAAGAAAATATTCCTCAAAGTCTGGGGCAGCACTGACTGGGATGCAAGTGGACAATGAACAGCAACAGAGGAAAGTCCATTTGGCTCCTTGACCCAGAATCTGTTTCCAGTGGATAGAGCTTAAGGGTGGAAAGAAATTCATTTCAGTTCATTTTGTACTTGGAACTGAATATGGACTCCAAGGCAATTTACAGTCAAAGGTCTGTGGCTTTGTGAGCTTGCAATGCAATTTCAGTACCAACAACAGCAAAGCTGTATTCAGAAATGCATATATTCAGAAAATGCTCATGAAAATGTGTGATGAGAGATAGGTTGCAACTTGTTACAGAGCCAGGCGGAACTGAGTTTTGTGGTTAAAATTGGGAAATCCCAAGTTCAAACTTGGCCAATCCACCCATTTGTTAGTTTGTTTATTTCTATACTGCCCCATAGCTGAAGGCCTTTGGCAGATTACACATCGGGTTACCCATCTGTGTGGCTTGCACAATTACACCTCCCTGACAGACCTTCTACTTCTTTCTCACTAGGTCTTCTTTTGAATAAAATCAATAGAGAAATGTAATACATAACCACAAACAGTACTCCAGGGCATGCTAATCAGACACTGATTTATATAGGGGATTTTTGGAGGAATGAAGACTTAAGAGTTAATGCAACTGGATGGTGGAGTTATTTGGAGCACATCCTGGCTCCAAGCTCAAAAGTATATGCAGCAACTCCAAGCTTCTGCACACATCACCACACACATCAGGGTGTGTTATGCGAAACCCTGTTTACCACACTATTGTCCACGTCCAGTTGCTAATAGACCCGTGGGGCAGAAGGAAGAGAACTGCTACCAACATCATGGTCCTTTTCTTCAGCATGCCTAATACTTTGGGGTTGGGATACTTTTGGCCAGGAAAACCGTTAAACCTCCTCTCACCTACCTCCCTTGAAAGCCAAAGCATCCCCTCCACATCCATTTTTTTTGTTCAGGAGGGAGCTATTTTATAGACTCTGATCCAAATGTCCACACCTTTTTGCTTCAGCTGTGATACACTGGATTAATTCAGACATAACAACTGATCACTACAGTCCTCTTTATAATCCCCTTTTCCCCCCAGTCATGGATCCAGGTTTCCTATTGTAAGTTTGTGGGCAGAGATTAAGCTTCCAGTTTCCCTTCCTGAACTTAATAGAAAATTGGCTAAAGTAACAGTGATAGCAACGCCAAAGCCATCATAGGAGTAGAAGTGAAGAAGAGCACATGGGCACAACACTCGTGCTTGGTTTTAAAAAGCCATGTTTTCCCGAGCTGAGATTGCTTGAATGAGGCCTGTATTTCCTATTTGTGACAGACCTCCTGGCTAATGCAAACATAATGCTGTGATTTATTTACACCATGCACACTTAGTAAATTATATGAAGTGTGTAATAGCAATCAGAGGCTAACAGCTGTCTACATGCCTTTTGCATGACATTGCCTTTTCTCTCCCACTATATTTTATGATGTCAACCACAGTCTTGTTGTTGACACATCTGACTAAAGTGTGTTGTACCAGAAGTGCAGTGTAAGCAAACAGTGTGAGCCATATGCATAACAACTTCCTTTAGAATAAAAGGTCCTACAAAAACTCTGCCAGTGATTCTGCTTCTCTAAACACATTAAAATCATTTAATAAGTGCATTGTGTATTACAATGGCATTGTTTGTCTGTTATTAGGATTGCAAATTCATTCATCCACAGCATAAACAGATTAGCAGTCTTAATATAACTAGTGTATGAACAGAGATGTCACTTTTTGAGGGTGATTAATGAAAAACCTATTAATAGTCTGATATGACTTAATTGATGGCTTAGAGCTGGCAAATTTATTAACTTGGACCATTTCTGTGACATCAGTTTTCCATCTAATGTCTCTTGCATTTTTCATTTTGTTTTCTACTATTCCTAAAAGAGTGATCAATTCATATTAGTGGTCTACAATTGATTCCACTAATCTCAGGATCTAGTGGTAATAATCTTTCATTAAGAATAAAGCCAATGGTAATAGGAAATTTTAGATTCATCTTACACAACCTTGTTGCACAACTTCAGTTGTGAAACAGTCAAACTAACATTTCGCTTCTCTCCAGCCCATGACTTTCTTTACAAACTGTTCAGCATTTTTGATACAGTGAGGCATGACCTGCTAGGACTAGTTGAAGGTAGAAAAAGAAAATGAAGACCAAATATTAGATGGCTGGAATCTACTCATATAAAGGGAGCCACAGCCTTGAACTTGGAAGAGTCACAGGCTGGACATATTGGAGGACTTATTGGAGGCCACCATAAGTTGGAGATGACTTGATGGCACATAACAACAGAACACAACCAACTAACCAAACATATTATAAACCTGTTTGAAAAAACAACAACAACAAATATTATTTGCACGTACAGTTTCACTTTTTAAACTTATGTAAATCATAGTACCATTATGATTACATGATCATGGAGTTTGCATCTCCTGCCTGATGACAAACACATTTATTTGGGGAAAATAACTATTTTGCAGCAGAAAAATGTAATAAATTTTGGGGAAAAAATAAGGTGAACACCTTGAACCATATACATGCCAGAGAAGCTACATCTTAACTATACTATTTTTTAAAAAATCCAATGAATCCAATGGATTCTTTTAACTTGCTTCAGGATATGTGTTTTTCTGGCTGTAAATGGGAGACAGAAAAAGCAAATTCGCTTTCCTTTCCTAGTTTGCCAATCCAGCTTGGTCTTGTTCACACTTCCACTAAAGTAGGGAAACCAGTCAATCACACAAGCTCTATTATGTGTAAATGATAGAACTTTTGGTTTGTTTTTGTGTCTACTGTCCAAGGTGTTCATGAAAAATTCCTCTCTTTTCAGCTTTAAATGGACAAAAGATGGGAAACCATTTGATCTTCTTGGCCACTCAAGGATAATTGCATCCAACAATTCAGGAACTTTTGTCATTAAGAACCGTGGCAACATAACTGTTTTCCAAGGAAAGTATCACTGCTATGCTTCCAATGATCTTGGCACCACAATGTCAGACGAAATTGAACTAGTAGTTCCAGGTGAGCATTCTGTGTTAATGCGTGTTCTAAGGAGCAAAAAGGCAACCTTGCCATATCAAACTGTGGTATTTGATTTTATGAAAGATTTTGTAGAGAACTCATAGAATACTGATTAGGGGAGATGGGGACTTGAAATGCACAGTTGGCTTCATTTGGAAAACTATGTGTTGTTGTCCTTTAAATGTTGGAGATTCCACTCTATTCACTCATTTTCCTGAAGGGATATTTAAGAACAGTTCATATGGAACCAGGACTTATTGCAAGATTCTCTGCAGCCGCACAACACTTTGGACCTTCTTCCTGGTATGGCAAAGAAGTCAAGGAAGGAGGAAAAGTGGTGGTTGCTTTTCTTGGAGAACCCTATTGAGATTCTTTAATTCAGGGTGTCAGCAATTCAACATCTGTCTTACATGTGGAAGCATGTATTCTATACTTTATGTTAGGCCAAATATGCTTTTCCACAGCTCCCTTTGTTTCTTAATCTATAGATTGACTGGATAACTAGCTTCCTCTCCTCTCCTCTCCTCTCCTCTCCTCTCCTCTCCTCTCCTCTCCCAAAGGAGCACAAATTACTAATCTCACAGGAGAGAATTAACATGTGACAGCAGTAGATCCTTTTTATATGTATTTTAACTTGACTTACATTCATATATTCATTGGTTGAGTCACAGGTTGCGGTGACAGAGATAACTCTGTCAAGTTCCTTAATGCATTCATCTTCCAGTACTCAGTATGTGATTATGGAAAGTAGGGTATTCATTGTCTTCGAGAAGTTAACAAAAATTCATAAAACCAATGAATAATCTAAGTCAGAAAGAAAGATGTGGGGTGCCAGAAATGTTTTGTGAGTAATGCTAGTACCTCAGATAACAATGTTGTGGCAACAACCACAACATTTTACTTCTGTAAACAATTAACTGAAACTTTACAGAGCTTTGTTGTGAGCTGGTTTGAGAGCAGATGGATAAATAATTAAACATGAATTCCCCACATATGAAATTAACTCCAAACAATAACTTCATACTGTAATTTCAAACTGCAAACCAGAAACACTTCAACTAATTTAGGAATGTAGCTGACTGTATGCATGCATATATTTTCATTGGAGTGTCCAATTTGTTGTTCTCTGAAACTTGCTGACTGACTCCCACCATGCCTTTTCTTTATGGAATTCACCTGCAGGCATATTAATATACAAGCAATTTAAACAATATTCTCAAGAGGTATCAGTTCTCAGTGGCAGGAAATGATTTGATTTGTGATTAAAATTGTATTACTTCATCTCCTTTGGAGATGTTTATTCTGCATACTTTTACATAAAACCTTAATTGATTCTTTGTAAATGATTTTCAACAACATTCTGAATTGATTTCTTTTTCTTTTTTGAAAGAAAAAAAATAATGTTTTATGTCTGGAAAGAATCAAAAAGTGAAGTGGATAATTTGGTATCTAACCTCTCCCATCCCCACCTCTCCTGGTCAGCTCAGGGTATTCTCAAATAGTTTTAGTCTTCTTCAGTGGGTTTGAGTCACTACTCTAAAGACAAAGATGGTAGATACATAATGAAGTGCATGCATTCGTTTTGTGGATGCATGCTTGGCAGAGGTGAGGGGACCTTGTGGCTGCCATGGAAAGCTTTATTGCTGTCCTGTACTTTGTTAGAGTAAAACTTGTCTGTAGTTGAGCAGACAAGTGTGGAAGTTTGCATAGTATACAGAAGTATTCATCGTGGAAGTCCTCAGAGTGCACAGAGGTAGGAGGGTTAATATCACCTCCTGTTCCAAACCACTTTCTTGTGTTTTCCATTTAAAAGGAAGAAAGGAAAATGAGAAAGTGGTAGATCTGTCCTAGCATTTGTATTTGGTACTAAGTTTCACCTCAGCAGACAGAATCACTTCCCTCTGATTAAATTCTAGACCCAAATTCTAAAGGCTCCCAGCTGGTTTTTGAAAACTGAAAGAATCTTCTCACTGTATGTGCACTCCAATTTCAGGCTGATTACCTGTACTGGAGACAAGCTATGACACTGGCACAGTGAGCCCATCACTAAGAAGTCCTACTGTACTGCCTTACAGGCAATCTGTCCTCCTGTTATGCTCACATTCCCCCTCCACCTTTTTCCCTGTGAGGAATTCTGCCATCTTGTCAGGGAGTCTATGAGCAGTGAACCCTGGGAACTCCTCCTCCCACAGAAACCACTGAGCTTGAACATAAGGATGCAAAGATGTAAGGACAGTCTGTTGGATCAAACAAGGGATGCCTCCATCAGGCATTTGATAAAATAACCAGCCATTTGCTCCTGAAACACCTCAGGAGATAATGGGATAGGCCATGTCCTATTGTTAGCACTAAAGATACCATGATTGAACCATGCCAGTTCTGTCTGGCCTTTCATCACTAATATCATTTGATGAATCTTTCATCTATTTTAGAGGTATCATGTCAGTCCTAACTTCAATAACAAATTGGGCAGATTCAGAAGGATGCAACAAATTACCTTATCTACATAAGTCTCCTCTGAAGCCTACAAAACATCCATCAGAAGCTTCCCGAGCCTTTGTTAGATGGATGCAGAGATGCAGATGTGTGACTGAAAAAATAAATACATTAATCTGTTATGCACAATATAGTCATATGCTTTATATAAGGAAAATGACAGGCTGTTGTGTTGGGGAGAGGAGTAGTTCTAACAGACAGCTTCAAATTCTTATTATAGTGAATAGTTTTACCAGGATTCTGGAATCATATAGCTTTTGGGGAGGGATGTTGAAGTAATATACTAAATGGCAATTCTCATGTTCAGAGTGCTTTTCTAGTTCTTACTCTTTCAGGAACAAGATGGTTCAAAAACATTTTGTAGACTCTGAGGGACCTGTGAGAGTCTAGCATTAGGTGTACAGATCCTTCAGTCTGCACATGTGTCACCAGTCCTGATGCACTTTCTGTGACTTTACTGCCAATTCAGTGGGAAAAAAAATACTTAAAATGGTTTTTCATTCATCAAAAGTCCCTAAGTACAGCTACTCTTCTGAGATTGTGCTGGTATTTTGTGTAGGGCCATTTCTGTGTTATATGGCATTCTGATACAAATTTCAGGGGGGAGGAAGAAATCAGGTTTCTCCCACCCCAAAATTACTGCACCAATTATTCTGATTTTTTTCCCCAGGATTCTTAGCCAAAGAAACATTTATACTATATGTCATTTTCACAGCAATTGCCAACAAAAACCTACAGAGGTATGTGTCTTGAGTTTTGAAAACCTGCAAACTAGTAAAGTCCAATGTGCCATTTCATTTGAAATTTGTCAGAATTGATCTTGTCAGAAGATATAACTATGCTTGCACATTTCATCTAATTCTACCAAGAATTTTTAAAAAAAGTTATCAGGAATTCCCTTTGCAAAATAAAGGAATACTCTGCAGGTATTTTTTCTGAAATGTCAAAGGTTTCATTCCTTTGTACTATATCATTTATTTCTTCTTGCAGGTGTTTGCTCTTTTGTCTTTTTTGATACATTGCATCATTTGATACATTTGATACATTACATCAAATATTTTAATTGATGAGTTGTAATGTTTTAATTGTAAGGTTGTTAATCTGTCTGTATCTTAGTGTTTACTGCCTTAAGGACTATTTTTGGCAAAAATGCCAATTCAGTGAATACAATTTTATATAAACATGGGGCTCAATTTTATCCAATTCTATCAGAGGGGGGGAAAGTATAGCCATTTTTTGATTTCTAATAGTTACTGAAAGGCATGGAGTGAGCTTCAGAAATAAACCCTGAGCCATACCATGCTGAATTGTTCTGATAAGGATCAGAGAGCTTTCCATTAGGGTCCAAATTAAGTCTTGTGGTTGGGCACATTCCTAATTAGTTTAATCCATTCATACTATCATTGCTATATGTTTACTAAAGAATTTCATAAGTTAGTTATGCAATTATTGTCAGTTCTGCATTCACTACCAACTTAATCAATCTTGTAGCTTACTATTATATGATACAATCACATAATCACTGATTTTCTTCTACCTCTTTAGTAAACAAGGTAGTATAACTTATTGTGGTAAAAACTATTTTATTTGGGGGCATGAAGATGGTTCCAGTGTGTTCAAGGAGATATACTCCCACGAAAGTAGATATTGTTCTAAAGGCATAAATGAAACCAGCACCTGATAGTAAATTCCTTACCACATCAAACTAAATAATGTACAAAGATCATTCACAATTGAAACTTTACTTGACTGGTGCATATTTTAAAGTTTTCATTTCATATACTTTTATTTTTTAAAATTAATGATATCCCTAATGTATCATTCAATACCCCAAGTACATTGGGCTTTCCTTTATGAGAGGTGAAATTCTTACAACTGATGAGGGTCCTTCCTCTCATTTGGCATCGTTGGACCCCCCAATACAATATCACACTGCATGTCAACATTTGATAAGTGCTGCCATAGAAGGGCTTAGAATAAATTGATTTTATTTGTGCATAAACAAAATCAAAGCGGAGCCTGGTAAGTGTGAGATCACGATAACAGCATGGCACTTGGCAGCATTCTGCCCCAATAACAGTGAAAAGGGCAAGACATCACCCTAGGTAATGTTTCTGAGCATAAATTATGCCCGGACAGCGATTCAGGGATTCTACACTCCTGCTCAATGACAGTGGGATTTCCAAGGAAAGCAGGAGTGCTTCTGTCAGGCAAAGCAAAAGGGCTGTTTATACACCCCTTTGTTCTTTCAACAGCACAATGAAAATGCAAATCTAAAATAAAATAAAATAAAAAATCGGTGTTAGTGTTAAAGCAATTTTAAATCAAAATCACCTCTCTATGTTCTGAGAATTGAGATGTAGAATCTACAACAAAATCCAGCCTCACCTCAGCTCATTTTACAGTTGTGGGAAGTAAAAGTGCAGACTCCAGTAATTATACAGTTCTTGCATAACTGAATTGAATTCTAAAGGTGAAGGCGCTAACCGCTGAGCTACTTAACA